TTAATTACAGGCTTCTGAAAAAATACAATTTTAATAATAGGCTTCTAATGAAATTCCAGTATTAATTATAGGCTTCTGAAAAATTCCAGTATTAATTATAGGCTTCTAAAAACTTTTGGTATTAATTATAGGTTTATAAAAATCTGATATTAATTATAGATATTTACTCACTGTCACAAAAATGGGATAGTGGGCATTAATGGGTTAAAGTGTTAGGAATTTCAGTAATGCTTTTAATTATAACATAGTTATGAATGCAAAATATTTTGGCAGGAACAGCTTTCAAATATATTTTGGCTTGAACAGCTTTCTTTGTCATCAGACATCATTATGCTGCCATATAGGGTATAGATAAAAGTGCATAATATTGATGTGTGTGTGTGTGTGTATGTGAAAATGAATCATGCTGTCTGGTTAAATTTGTGATTTTCAACTGATGATATGTCATCTTAGGAAATTTATTCCTTTTGAACTCTCAAAAATTCACTCAGCCAAATCGTCTCAGTTAAGCAGTCGTCTCTCATTTTTTTAATAACATCTGGCTGATGTTCTCACGCAGATCTTCCTCTTAGACTCTTGTTCATTTCCTTCATATTTAAATATTGAATTAGAATAAACACATCTGCTAACAAGTCCTGGTTAGAAGATAGCCTAAAGGTTGCAATATTGCACTTTTAACGAGAGTGTCTAAAGTTCAATCCCTTATGTCAGATATGTAAAATCTATGTTGTAGCTTGGTTGGATGACATGTTTGGATTTGTAGCAAATTCAGAGTGACACCAGAACAATGATAAACTTTATTTTTTAATTAAATTACCATTAACTTATAATATGTGTCATGTGTGATAAATGCTTGTCTTTCAATACATGACTGATGAGGCAGATTTTTTCCCACAGTAGATTGCTGTTTCTTTCTGCAGTAGACCAGCTGCCATCCAAAGCTATAGAACCTGGTCTGTCCTGCTATTTACTCATAACTTGGGGAGAAAAAGAGGATTCATACCTTTTAATGGATTCGACTGGAATTCAAACTCAGCTCTCTGATCCCTAAATCCGAACTGTTATCCATTACTCCACCGTGCCTCCTTATAATATTACTGATTATATAAAAAACTTGTCCACAGGCATAAAATGCAGTGTATGTCGATATATATTTATTCTACCTTCTATCATCATAGCTGATGATAACCTCCAAGAAAGCAACACTTTGTATCTTTTTGGGTTCACGTTTTACACTGACATGAAGTGGAATGATTATATTGAATCAATTGCTAAATCTACTGCAAGGAAAGTTGGTTCAGTGTGCCCTGCCAGACAATTTTTCTTGTCAGAATTTATTTTGCATGTTTATAAATCTACCATTTGTCTGTGTATTGAATATGGCTGCCATATCTGCTCTTGTGCTCCTATTATATATCTCGAGATTTGTGACAATTTCCAAAGAAGAGTCTGTATTGTCATTGATCCTGACCTGTACAGAAACCATATATTGTATTGATGCAAACATATCCAGTAATTTTTGACAAAAGCCTTTATATAAATTCTTAGCATTGGTATTCTGTCATCAATATATCGCTTTATATGATCTTATGTCAACTTTCAATTAAATTGTGTATTCCATTATAAAAGAATAATTTGGGTCTTGATTTAATTAATTATTTAAGGAATTTTGGATATTTTGATAATGTTAGTAAAAAGGAAAATTTAAAAATTCATTATTTATGCACAATATGCAGAACTAAGAATATATGTTAAAAGAATTAACTCTGATCAAGAATACTGTAAGATTTGCACTAAAATGTTTGTCTCTTCCATTTTAACATCCAAATCATTTGTTGAATACTGAATACTAAACTACTTCCCTTAGATTACTATACCTAGTTTCATATTGTGAACATACATTTTACCCCATATGTAAATAAAAAATGAAATATAATTCAATTTTTATGACCAATAAGAATTTTTTAAATTAAAATAAATTATTCAAATATAAAAAATATTGAACCAACAACATTAGGACATGAAAAGTTTTGCACCAGAAATTATTTCTGCATGGCTAATTCAGGGTTCAACATCAGCAGTTAAGTCCATTCTTCATCTTTTTTTTTTTTTGAGGAAAGAACAATATTTCAGAATATGAGGTTAGGTAAGGCAATCTAAGAACGGTAACTCAATATTTGGTATGCTAAAGCCGTTTTGAATGCTAGGAAATAGCAACATATTAATTTTGACAAAAAAAAAAAAAAATTCTCAAATTTAAAACTCGACCAAAAAACCACTGATTAATTTTAATGAAATTTTTCCTGTTTATGAAAAATTAAAAATATTTCAAGAAGTGTTTCCATTGCTAATTTAGGAGAAAAAAAATGAATGTAATTAATTGTAATTAATTTAATTTATTTTTTTTAATTCAATCATGCTTCCATTGAATTTTAGAGTTAATTCTCTCGATAAATTCTGTTTTACCTGCTTTTTTTTTCTCGTTATTTGTTATTTTTTTTTATTTTTAAGTATTAAATTTAAGAAGAAAATAAAGTGCAAAAATTTTTTGTCTTGACAATATTTTAGTTTTATTGTTTAAATTATACTCTTATGCTTGTTTTTTGTAAAAAGAAAAATATTCAAACTAATTTTTTATGAGTTAAAGGACGCTTTGTATGCTTTTGTTTTGTCAACATTTTGAACCCGAGTCATCAGGATTGAGAACCAATTTTATCAGTCAGATGAACCATGGAAATGGGAAATTGAAAAGAATTTATTGACAATAACTGACATTGTCATATCTTTTTCTGACTCTTTTTTTAAACAGTGTTTGTGTAAGCGGGGTAATAATGCATATGTGTAGTGTAGTTTTTAAAACATTAAACTTTATTCATTCTATAAAGTAAACAAAACTAAACATTAAAATACTAATTTAGTACATTTTTGTGAGCTACATGGCTCTGCTATATCAACATGTTTTTGTTTAAAAAACGTTGTACAAGTGTAGAGAGTGTAGTAGACGATAAGAAATCATGATCCATGACATGTCTTAAATCAAATTCCTTAAAAACGAAAAAAGAAAAATAATTTTTTCTGACATTTCATACTTTTTAAATGTTTAAATTATTGGCCTTTCAAAAATGATGACAAAACAGTGAAACAAGAAACAAACAAAATAGGACCATACGAGGCTCTTCTGAATTTTCACACGAATTAACAGGAAATTAATAATTAATTTAATTATAATTAATTAACTTCTCTGTGGTAAAGTAAGAGGAAGTTAAGAAAGATATTTGGGGATATTTTGCTGTTTGATAAAACATAATTTTGTTTTTTTTTTTATCTTGTAAATATTGATTGAATAATTGCTGTGCAACAATCATTACACATTCAATTGTTTTTTGAATTTTTTATTGAACTTGATTTTTTTTCTACGACTTGCAAATAGTCCTTAAACTAATGAGAACATAACTTGCTTATTATTTTTAATGGAAATTAGTTACAAATAGCTTACTGCAAAGAAAGCAAAACAAAAACATTCTACTACACAATAACTACAAAAAAAAAAAACTAAAAAGTCAAACAAAATTCAAACAAAGCAAAAAAATCTCACCATCGATGCTTTTAAAAAAATATTTTTGTATGTTTATTTATTAATTTCTGTTTAAATGCATCATTCTAAAACAGATAATAATAAATATTAAAAAAAAATTTCTCTGTAAAAAATGCAAAATTATTTACGAAATAATTGTTATTGATTTCATATTTTTTTTAACAGCAAAGCCAAAATAACAACATTTTTTGTCGTTTGACGTTTTATTGCATTTGTTTGGTCATTGCTAAAAAAATTGCAAGCGAAGTAATGGATTAGGTAAGTTTCACTTTCGTGAGAAACAAAATGTGCACTAACGAATGAGTCTAGATGGAGAACATAAATAAAAGAAAATTATTATGTAATAAAAAAAGTAAAGTCTGTAAAAACTAAAAAGTAGCTATAAAAGTTTGGAAATTGGAGAGAAGAAATGACGTCATTGAAATCAATTATTAAAAATGCCGAACACAAAAACGTGAATAACTGATTATGGATTTTTTTTACCTGTTCAAGGAATTTTTTTTTAATTAATAATGTCGAATCTAGAAAAAAAAAAATACATGACCTATGATACTGGGAGATAAGATAGTTTTTTGTTTTTTTAATTTAATTATTTCTGTTTTTAACGTAAAACATTTTTTAGCGTCACAGAGGAAAAATAAATAAACGTTGCGACATATATTTGTTTTGTTTGAGGGATGAATTTCGTGAACTCTTTTCTTCCTTTTTTTTTCTTTATAGCTTCACTTTCAGAAATCTTCCTGACACTGACAGATTTTTAATTTTAGTTTCTTTACCAACCAGTATATCCCACAATATTGCTTCCTTGTGCGGGCAATATGGATAACCACATTTCTTTTATTTAATTTCTTCAATTAAAACCCAACCAAACAAAAAGTTGTTTTTTTTTTCTCTCTATCTCCATTTTTCTCATTATCTTTGCTATTTGGAAAAAAGAAGCCGAATAATTACGAAGATCGAAGTCTATTGATGGTAAATGCTCTTGCCAATGTTAAACTTTTCCAACAACCAATGAAAAGTTCGCATTGCAATGACGTCATGCTGTCCCTTGAGCCTCCCTCGGCAAACACAAAAAGTTTTTCGCTTCACAAAAACTACAACAAACATTAAAACATTGTTTCCGATCTTCAACCGAAAAGTTAGTTGCATTAATAATAATAACAACAGTAAGCACACGACACAACTCGGCCGACGAGAAAGTATTCATTTAAAAGCTTTTTCTGCTGTAGTAAGAGAAGAAGCATTTCGGCAGTGGACGACTCCTGTGTGTATTATATAGCAGATAAAAATTCCGTTATCATGCCAGAATATTATTGCTACTCGAAATGGCGAAGTTTCCAATGCTTCTTCTCCTTCTTCAACTACCGCCGGGATCTGAGTTGCCAATAAGTCTGTGAACAAAACTATGGATGGTAACACATCTGATCACAGTTTACCAGCGAGTGACCATACCGGGGGTACCTGGATCCAATGTTGGGATAAAGACATTCGTTCTGTTTCCAGATTAAATTTAGGTGAGTAAAGTTTTTTTGTTTTTTTTAAAAAAAATGTTGCCCTTCGCCATTTTGCAACGCCTTTTCAAAGCCAAACTTTTTTTTTAAGGGTGGGTCGTTATTTATTTATTTATTTTTGCATTATTTTGTCACCGTTTTTTTTTCCTTCTTCTTGTTTTGTTATAATTAATTGACTATGGTTACCAGATGAATATATTTTTAATTTGTATTCATTTTAACTGAATTTATTTTCTGATATTTTGGTAATTTGGTGTTTTTTGTTTTTTATTCTTTGGGAAACCCATGGTTTGTTTTTGTCCATCCATGCCAATTCTTGGAAATCAATCCAAAAATAAATAAATAAAATAAATGAATACATTTAAGACATTTTTGTACCATTATGAAAATCGATCAGCTTGAAATCAATCATTTCAAAATTTTGCATAGAAACATCTTTTTCGAGAAATAATTTTTACTGTAATTTTGTTTTATTTGATATAATAATGATCTCAGAGAGAAATATAAAATTTTTAAAAAAATCAATGATCAACATAAACACCTCTTTAATTCAGTTTCTGTCAGAATTTTTTTTTTTTTTTTTTGTTATTCCATAAGAAATTAATGAAAACTTTGAAAATCAATTGACCACCAGAATATTTTTTTTTTATTATTATTTTTTATTATTTAAACTCAACTGACAGTGAGTAGTAACCTGTTTGTTCTTCAACACTGTTGTGGTTATCCCTTGTCAGATGACAAAATGTTGTCACTGCTTTTTTTTTTTACTTACAACAGATGCTTCCTCTTTCCTTATTTATTATTTAACCCTGGACATTTTCCCATGGCGCTTTTGACAAACTGGTAGATAGATACGTAAATAAGGCCAAATCGAATTATCAGCAGCAAGCACTTGCGTAGATTTTGACCAACTTTTTTTCTTTTCTTTTATTTTGTTTTTCTTAGTTTGTGCGTGCGTAGTAAAATGTTGCCTTCAGCTTTCTTTAATAAGAAAAAAAAAGTTGCCTGGAGTTGACCGAAACTTTGAGTGAACTGAATAATGTTCCTGCTTCTCTTGCTAAAAAAATAAAAAATCTATTCTAAATTATATGTTGTCCATTACAAATTTTACATACTACCACCACTTACTATAATTTATTGGTAGTTAGTTTTGGTATTATTGCTGTGGTTGTCTTTTAAGGGTTTGGAGAATATATCCAATTTTTTTATTTCATTTATTTATTTTTTTAAAGAACTTTTGAAGGTTTGTAGGGGATTAAATGTTTATTTTAGTTTTTAACGCAATTGTTGCTTTAATAAATTTGAAAAATACATTCATTAGTTGTGCAAAGTTAAAAAATAGATTGATCAAGTTTTTCTTGTAGAATCTATGTGTACTGTACACAGAAACTGTAATAATCAAAAGAAAAAAATACTCTGAAAAGTTTGTCGTTTTTATAATCCTTCTGATGAAAAAATATTTTTTTTATTTATCTGTTTATTTCAAATTGTAAAGATACAATACATGATTGAATATGAAAGGTAACAGAAAACTCAAAAAAAAGTTAGTTTTTTTAACTTTAATTTTTTTGTTTTGGGGAAAACACGATGATTGATTATTTACTTTTTTTTTTTGTGACATTCAACTTCTTAAAAAATAATGATGTTTTGAATTTTATTTATAAGAAGTCGTGAAAATAAGTTTTATTTAAAAAGCAAGAAACTAAAAAAGAAAAAAAAAAAAAATTTGGAATCAAAGACATCCTTGTAAACCTCAAGGCAAAGAAAAACTATAATACACCCCTCCCTATTGCTAAGATTAATTTTTAATGATTTATAAATCATTTGATAGTTTTTTTTGACTTTTGAAACAAGTTTTTTTCTTATTCTATCAGTTTGTAATATGAAGCATGTTAAAAAAAAATATTTTACTTATTCGAATAACAGCCTTTCTCACGCTTGCAGTTTATTTCTAACTTTTTTAATTTTTTTTAATCTACACTGGTTCCTAAAATTATAAATTTATTTTAAAGGTCTCTTAAAATTTTCCATTTCGATTTTTTTTTTTTTTTTTTTTTGCAATGAAATTGAAGCACTGAGTAGTATTGGATGTAAATAAAATCATTGGCATTTATTATTCCTGTGGCACTACAAAATACCAGCATCATGTTAGTAGCAGTCAGTCAGTTTGTAGTGTCAACCTCTCAAGTTCTCAGCCTTGCTCTCCTCAATAAATTGCTCGGCAGCACTGACCCCTCCCAACTACTCAACTGCCTGGCACGACTGATCAAAACTGTGCTCTAAAAAACATTTATTATTCCCCCAACCAAATCTGTCTTTCATTTGAGATGCAGGAATTTAATTTCTATATTTCATGTGATTATTGCAGCTATAGTTTATTTAGTCGTTCGTTAGTGTTTTTAAATTTTAGTCTTCGAAGTCGAAATCTTTATTTTGATTTCTAATACCAAGTGTACTGTGTAGAGACCTTACCAAGTTTAATATTTATTCTTTTAGTTATTTAAGGTGTGGCATTCATTATTTTATTTTTTTAATTATTATTATGATGACAAATTTTTATCAAATTTTATTTCTGAAAGATTTTTATTTGACTTTTTTTTTAACGTAGGGGGCGCAGAAGACTTACGGTTTCTCTTTGTGATTTACTAAAAAATCAAAAAAAAAAAAAATCATTTAACTTACAGGCTTCTCAAAATTAAACTCCTCCACTTATTTAATATAGATTTAAAAAAAAATTTTTTTTTCCTTTTTATAAATGCTAACTGAAAGTCAAAAGCTTAAAAAAATGTACGGAATAAATTACTAAGAAAGAAAATGATCAGTTTCACGTCTCTTTTCTCTTTCTCTCTTTCTCTCTCTTGCCAAGAATCTAGTTTTAAATTCCTGTTAAGAAAGCTTGAAATTCTATCTCCACACTTCTACTTGAAAATTCCACTTCACTTTTGGCGAAAGCCGCTTCATAAAAAAAACTACCGTTTCTTTTTCTTTTATTTTTATTTTAGAAAATCCTTTATATGAGGAGAACCTTAAGTTATAGTTTATTTGCTTTTTCAAAACGGTTTCTTAATTTTTGCATTAAAAGTAAAACTAAAGTTCTAAAAGAGGGAGTTGGGAATAAAGCACGAATGCATTTTTTTTTTTTTTTGTTACATGTTTTCGCCGCCGGCAAACTCCATATCTACTTTTTGGAAAACAAATTTTTCATATGATATTTTTATTTCATCACTGAATTTTACTATTTTTTTTTTTTATCCTTTATAGAAAAATTTCAGGGACCGCCTGAAATCTGAGTGGAATGCATACTTTTTACAGGGAATTGATAGAACTTTAGAAAATTCTTAAGCAACTATTAAGAAATGATTGAGTTGAACTATTCACTTATTTGAAATATTATTGAAAACATCTGCACATATCATTTAGTATTTGCCTCTAAAATCTCTCGTCTAACTGGCTGCCTTATAAAGTTGTGCGATAAAATTCATTTTGTTAATGAAAAATAATTTAGCATATATGTACAAGATGTAATTTTTTTTCCAAAATCTAATTTGGGAATAGAAAATTTCCCAAATCTGAGAATTAATTTAAAATGTTTTGATTCTAAAATCTAAATCCAAGAATTGGCAAAGTGATGCTGTTTTTGTAGAATAATTTTAGAGACTGGAATTAAGATTATAACTAGCATAGTGCTGAGAACATTTAATATTTTGCAGCAGAATTTGCAAACTAGCAAGATGACTTGGCATTGCCTGGATTTCTTGTAAAAACTTCGTTTGTCAATTTCCATCAATTGACAAAATAAGTATTGAAGCTGGTGAAACAGTAATTTATTAAATGAAGAATATCACTTTAGTTAACTTAGTTTCAAGTATATTCCCTGTTAAGAATGCAAAAAATTGTTTTTATTTTCTTGTTTGAGATATATTTTATTATAGAATAACAATTTTTATTCCCGGAACAAAGTAACTGGCCAAATATCAAAGGCATACATAAATCAGTGTCTTCTTTTTTTTAAATGCTTAATTAAGAAATATTTATTTTACAAGATGCAACAGTTTTTCTTTATCAAAATCTTTTAAAAAGCTAAACTTCCGCAAAAGGCATCTCTGAAACATTGGGTATTAAATTCCATGATATGTGACCTAAAAAATTCCATACACTCTCTCCAATAAAATATTTGCTGTTTTGAATCAGTTATGTTAATAGGCATGATAGCTGAATATGAGGTTTCATAAATTTAGCTGCCTGCCTTCTCTATCTTGGTGATTAAGGTATTTTATGTTTGTTTTTATATATATATATATATATATATATATATATATATATAGAGAGAGAGAGGGGGGACTAAGATCAACAGCGCTGACAGGGTTTCATGCTTGAATGCAAACTTCAGGCCTGAAGATTGTGTTCAGGCATGAAACACTGTTGCTACTTGGTGTTGACCTTAGTGACCACCCTTAGACATACTCTGTCCCTGATGTTGAGCACTTTTACTGATAAATATAGCATATACTAAAACTATTTTCATCATATATAATCTTTAAAGATGAACAAATTTTTAGATCCATTTTAATTTGTAAGTTTCTTTATATAAACAAAAGATGTGTGTTTGTATATATATATATATATATATATATTCATTTCTGTAGTTCCTTGCTAACAGCAAGCAGAAATATTTCGCCTCCCGATGATGGCCATTTCGGTCGAAACTAGTCGAGGAATTTAAATGGAATAATAATAATAATAAAAAAAAAGAATATTAATCTACAACCCAGTGTGTCTAATGATTTTTTTTTTAATTTTTTAATTTTTTTTTTTTTAATTTTCTTATTATTCAAAATATATATATATATATATATATATATATATATATATATTATAAATAAAATAAAAAATTTTTTTTTTTTCAGTTTTATTACACTTTGATCCACTTTTGTGCATTGAATTGACTAATGATGTTTTATAGTTTATTTGGTAAATGTATTGTCAATATTCATATGTTAATT